CTAAACTGCTAACCCATACTGAGTTACAGATGAAAAATGGGAGAATGCGAGCAAGTTGTTCGAAGCTGAGACAATTGCAATTGCAGCCTCAAAGGAACCAAGATTTACTCCTTCAACGTGGAAGGTGTTCAGTGGGAACCATTTTGTGGATAAAAAAATGTGCTATCAAAGATCGGTAACTTCTTACATACCGAATGTGTAGTAGTGACTTGAAGTGTAGCGAAAAGTTTGTCTCCAATCTCTGTGCGAGGCCATCCTCGAGGGAGGCTGGTCTCGAGCTCCCACCACTTGTAAAAATTTTACCAGACGAGAAGGCTTAAAGGGATAGAAGTTTAATTTTTATGCCATATGAAACTAAAATATATCGAACTTTGTTTATCTTTTTAGATAGATATGTAAAAGAGCAATTGCAAGGACATTTGCTGCATCCACACCGCATTTCCATGCCTGTGAAGATGCCTAATGCAGGTATTTGCCATTTTTGACAAGCCAAGTACACATTTCACAATCTGATAAATCGTGTTAAATGGGTTGAAACTTTGTCCTGGAAGTGGCCCTGGACATAAGCAACTACGATTTGTGTAAAGGTTTCCCTTCCTTGGCAGTACGCGGCTTCTAGAGGCCACCTTTGGGACGAACGAAGTGGTGGATGACCCGCCCATCGAATGAGCGAGTGGGAAGGGAGTTGCAACAGCACCTCCCTGCTGTAGTAATGCTGTTAACACATTTCACTTGACTGTACTTAAAATGAGAAGTCAGTAGTGATTAATAGTGTTAACAAAAATTGTGTTTAATTGAACGCCAACACTTGTGTCTCTCCAGACTGCACTTCCGTTTTAATGGTGCCGGTCGTTGGTTCTGCCTACAGCTCCCCTCACCTTCGATATACACTTATAATAAACTATACCTCCACGTCGGTGGACCTTGGCAGAAGTTTAGAACACACTGGAGGCGGTAGAGCCTTAAAACTGAGGCGGTCAATTAAATCGCTGTGGCGACTTTTTGACGGTCTCGTGCATCCTCGCCTCTGCTTGTTAGCCGGTGATAAAGTGTTATGGTTGGCTTCAAGGGCTTCAAAGAAGAGCCAACAAAATACCGATGTACGGTCATAACCCGAAGGCATGATATACCTTTATGAACAAGAAACTGACAATAACCCAGCTCGGAAATGGAACATTAATTAAAGGCTTACAGAGCGGGAAAAGAGTAAAAGGAAAGGAAAGCATAGGTCATGCAATTCATTAAACAGTTATTTGCAAATCTTTTTATTTTTTTAAATAAAGAATTCGTTTTTTTCTCTGCAATACAGTCATTCGGGCTGAGGAGAGTTGCCAAAGTCCACCGACTGCTGTCGCACCAATGAAGTGGAGGCGTTTGTTAGTGACTTGCAAATTCAATTTCCCCTCCTCTCCTCATAGACGACACCAATTAGCATGATTGCTCGAGACAGCAGCGACGAGAGTTTGCCTAAGGTCTTTGCGCCAAACAAGATTTGAAGTGCTTGGTGGGCGGGCAATTTGTCATTCCATCTCACCTTCGATGGCACAAAGTCGCTGCATTTTACAAGCTTAATTATACACTTCTTCAAGCTGTCCTCCAAATTTGCCTTCTTTATGCATATAAAATGAGATGATGTGTATGTGGAAAATTGAAGAGAGGAAGAAACTTGTGTTTGCCTCAATCGCATGGCCTCTGAGGGGACCACTGCTATTGCCGTGCTCTATGCCAGTGTTATGCCTTCTTCCGTCTTCGAACAAGTCCCGACTTTTGTGGACAAGCCTTCTGATCCTCACCACATAGTGACGGCGGCAGGACAGGCTCCGAGGGTAAACTACGTCGACAATGAACCATTTGAAAAGTTTGTTACGGAGATGTCAACATTACCTGTGTGAAGGCGTCAGTTACATGGACAAACGCTACCTCCTCCACCTTGCATATAGATGAAGAGAATTTAGACGGATAAATAAATTAACAACTTTGAACTGTGAAGGAGGTACTAAGTGAAGAAAAAGGGAAAAAAATATTTAAAAGTCCTCCTTTGTTAACTGGTCCTTCCATGGACCTCCAGCAAGAGAGGCCAATGACTTTCCATCTTCACGCAAATTAACTGACTCAACCAGTTCGTTCATAAACGTTTGTTTAGTATTTTAGCAGAGATTTAAACAATAGCAGCGATGCTGTAAGGGAGGGGACACTGCGGCATACCTTCGTCTCTGTCTCGAGGCCACCTTCCGGCTCCACTGGACAGCATGGCCTCCATGACGTGCTATCAGCCTCTCAGCCCCTCTCTACGTCAACACAACACATTCAACTGAAGTATTTTGCCTTTAGAAAAGTTTAAGAGAGGCAAAAGCGTCTTCTGAGTGTCCACCACGGGTCAAATGTATTAAAATTTGCCGCAAAAATACAAACACCACCTTACAATTAGAAAAAAACTTTACCACAAGTCACGTACACATCGTCGGCAAAACAAACAAGTGGAAGGCATTTTTTTTTTCGTTTACAAAAGTTTTTTTTTTCGTCTCAACTTTTTAATTACTTAAAGTAGCTATTTGATGAAGTTGAGGCGCGTCCACACCATTACCCATGACAGTCGTACTCCAATGCCTGGTAGTACCAGAAAAGCAAATAAAAACTTTTAAATCCTTTGTTGCAATGGGATTGCAAAAAAAAGAGGGTAAAAAATGAATAAATTTTTAATGCAAGTTAATGCAAATGCCGATAAGG